GAGATGACAAACTCACAGACTTATCAAAGACTAACAACAATTAGCACAAACCCTACAGTGAAATAAGGACGGCACACTTTATAACACAGACTTTACAGTGTAGCTAGCAGGCTGTGTTAGCCAGGTGCTAATAGAAATGGCATGGCCCTGATGTCAGTAAGTGTTAGGACTTATACTTATACTCATACACAGACATGCTTGCTGATAGCGTTAATGGTGAGATCTCACTTACTTTGCATAGTAGACCCAACCATCTTTAGTAGACCTCTCCTCCCATCCAGGTGGTAACTCATCCTCACTATCTGTATCGTCCATACCGGCGTACTTCAGAGCTGCCATAGCTTCCAGTGAATGATGAAAATCGGAGAGAAATATCTGCTCTGGAGAATGAATGCAGATGTCAGAGAGCGCAGAAACACGGACACGGCGATCTTCCAGCACTTCCGCAACAACACGATGACGACTGCCGAACTGCATTTTGGGACATTGAGGCGGTAGACCATATGCTGAAGGATCCGGCTTTTTGTGATTCAAATGTTTCCGAAAAAAAGATGGCAGCCAGAAGCCAGAACTAAGTCGAAATTTCGAGTTACTGTCTCAAGTTTAATATCGTTGGGGTTTTTTTTTTTCATAAGCTTAAAGGCTTTATGTTAGAGAACACTGGCTGGGTTTTCTCTCAGCCTTTGATCTGGGTATATAAATTTTAAAGCTAGTAGGAGAATAATGTTGGGAGATGTTGGAAGTGGGCAGATAGAGCTGCTGATTTATGTCATCAGATAACTCAGGCCCACTGAGTTATCTACACAGCTAAAGTTTTCTGATTTTTTTTAATCTCCTCCAAATCCTTTTATTCTACACTGATTAATCACCTTTCCTGTCATAACTACGCTTCTGTACACTTTTCAGACATCTATCAACCAAAGAGGTCACCATGCAGTTGGGCATGTTTTACCAGTTTTACCTTTCCTGTCTATTGTAATAGAAAAGTAGCCTACAGACTATCCAAGAGGGCCAGAGGAAATCTGAACAGATGACAGCCCTAAACCTATTGGGGGCAAAGGTAGCATTAAACCACCTCATTGACTAGTCAACACAGTGGAATGACACGTAACAACTAACAAAAGCGAATTAGTTAGAGCTATTCCGCCTCTAAATGTTCACATGTTTAAATAAAAACAATAAATGAGATATAAAGAGGTTTCAGATATAGTTAAATTAAAAGAAATTAGTTGTGTTCTGTGTTTTTTTCCCATGCCTTGAAATTCGACAACTGCCAATGTGACCTAACCAGTACAGCTGTTCCCATCAGCTCAGTAGCTCTTTTGTATGCAAAATCTGTGGCCGTCTCTTGCTTCTCTTATTCCTGCCACTTGACCTGCCTGTTGTGTCTGTTAACCAGTTTGTGCACTTGTTACATGTGTCTTGTCCATTTGCAGAGTCTGTGTTTTCCATAGAATGGCTGCGAAATTTCTGTGGAATAGCGCACTGTTGAACTGATAATAAAAATGTAAAACAGCACAATAATCACAGTGATGTACTGAACTGTGGGATGACGTAATCTAATTTCATAAAGGATGATCCAGTAC